CTCCACCTGCTGCAGGAAGTGAAAGTATCCTGTCCCTGCAGTATCCTGTAACCAGCAGGGCTGGTTACTCTTATTAGTGCATATGCACTGACATTATCATCTTCAGTAGAATCTAAAGATGAATTCTACGATGATCTGGCTGCCGCTATTAAGAAAATCCCCGAGAAAGAACCACTGTTTATCCTTTGCGATTTCAGTGCCAGAATTGGAGCTGACCATAGTTCTTGGCCCACTTATTTAGGTCAGTTTGGTGTTGGGAAGATGAACGAAAATGGTCAACGCCTGCTGGAGTTTTGCTGCTATTACAGTTTTTGCATTAACAATACATTCTTTCGTACAAAGCCTCAACACAATGTTTCCTGGAGACATCCAAGATAGAAGCATTGGCACCAGCTCGACTTAATTCTCACCAGGTGCCCCAGCCTTCGCAGTATTACGATTGCACACAGCTAACAGGTTGCTGATTGTGATGCCGACCACTCCTTGGTGCACAGCAGAATAAAACTGCAAACAAAGAGATTGCATCACTTGAAGAAGGAAGGAAGAGCACAGATCGACATCGGCAAGACTCGCAATCAGGACAGTGTGGAGGAACTTGCTCAAGCACCCAAGGAAACTCTCCCAGGCCCACCTGAAACAAATGCATCTGAACAATGGGAAAATTTCAAGAATGCTGTTTATAACATGGCCTCATCAGTGTTTGGTAAGAAGACCAGAAAGAGAGCAGATTGGTTTGAAGCGCATTTGGAGGAGCTTATGCCAGCCAACGAGGAAAAGAGGAGAGCTTTAATTGCATATAAAGCCTGTTCCAGTGAGTGTAACCTACAGGTTCTGCGAGCTGCTTGTAGTAAACAGACCCCCAGGAAATGTGCTAATGATTACTGGCTGCAGCTTTGCTCTCAGATCCAGAGAGCAGCTGCCACAAGCAACATCAAAGGGATGTATGATGGCATCAAGCAGGCCTTAGGTCCAATGCAGAAGAAATCTGCCCCCCTGAAGTTGGCTACAGGCGAGGTCATCCAGGGCCGAGCACAACAGATGGTACGCTGGGTGCAGCACTACTCTGAGTTGTATCCCAGAGAACATGTTGTAACTGAAGAATTAAATAACATTGAGTACCT